ACTACGACTTAAGCCAGCTAAGAGGAAGCAACCTACCTCCGTTGGTTACTTTCCACGTGGCACAAATAATGCAGGCGCCACAAACTCCCACACGCATGAACAATTCGCTACAAGACGTTCCAATTTTCAAACCCTCACATAAACTACCCAATTGCTTCTCTCTCCCTCTCTCTGTCTCTCTCTCTCTCTCTCTCTCTCTCTCTCTCTCTCTCTATATATATATATATATATATATATATATATATATTTCTGTGTATAGTGATTATCTACCCAAATGGGAATTCATAAGTGGGTTTGGTTGCCTACTTTTAAATTCAATGATGATTATGAATAATTTTTTATTACTGAATATGCAGGGCTTTGGCTTTACTTGTTAGCCAAATTGGATGCTTTTTCATTGACAAAGTTGAATAAAGGGGGTTGCTGTCAATTGGTGGAAGATTGAAGAGAAAGAAAAGTTGAAATTCCAAGATTATTTTATTGATCAAAAGTTGAGAGGAGGCGAGCCCAGCCCAGAAGATCGAATCGCCGAAATGTAAGTGCCCACTTTATCTTCTTTACATTCAAATAAAAATATGAATATAGTAAGTATTTAGATATATGATTTTGATGATTTTCCATGGAAAATATCAGTGAAATGGCTGCTCTCGTGGAGCCTCCAAATGGGATTAGGCCTCAATTCTCTTCTTCTTCATCTCTTTTCATATATTATATTCCTTGTAGAGGGGAAACTCCGTCGAAAGTTCGCCGGATTTGTGGTTTGAAGTGCTACTACCACAAATCGAATCCGTTGTATCTTGGGAGACAATTGCCGCCAACCGTGAGCACCGTAGCGGGGCAATATTGTCTTAAGGAGAGAGTGAATACACTTGCCTCGGATTTAATCTTCGTTTTCTACTCCTTATTTTAATTTTCTTATTTGGTTTTATGGTTTTGTACTACATTTCCATTTCATAAATTTGTGATTTAAAATGCACTCACAAACAACCATCTTTACCGCTCACAAATAAGCCCGGCACCAACATTCAGCACTTCTTTTTCTCACGTTTAGGGATTGGGGTTCTTTTTGGTTGGCGTATTCAAGTGGACTACTACGTAAGCGAAGTCTGAAGCCTCGATGTTGAGGCGTAACAAAGTGCATGAAAAATATAGTAGAAAATAATACGTTGTGAACATTGTTAAAAAGTTTAGAAGATAACAACACATTTATAGGGGTGCATTCAATTGGGACTTTTCAAAACTTTGATGGACTTTTTTTAAATGATGATTTTTGTGAATTTCGTGGATCTTTTATAGATTTGTATGGAATTAGTGAAAGTCTTTCGTAAACTTCTATAGAATTTCATTTTAAAACTTAGATAATGCTCTTGGTACATTATTGTGTCCAAAATGGATACCCGGCACCTCGGTATTGGCCGAGGTGCCGGTGGGCCCCAGCGTGGCAGGCACCTCGACCAATGCCGAGGTACCGGATGTCCATTTTTGACACCATGTTGGATACCACAATATACCCCAAGCATGATTGTTAAAACTTTTATAGACTTTCGTGGAATTCAAAAAACTTTTGAAAACTTTCATTTGAAATAGAATTCACGTAAATCTAGGGTGAAATTCTCACATATGGGGTGTTAGTTTCAACAATTCCACTTCTTCTTCCCATATAATAAAAAAAGTTTAAAAAAAAAATTTAAGACCTTAATTAAATAAATAATAAACAAAATTATATGTATAATGCAATATTATTAGTATAGTAACTTTTAAAAATCAATATATTGAAATTTAATTATAAATTTTTCATATAAACTTTTATAATTTAATTAAAAAATAGATATTTTTCACATAAAATGAATGAAAAAAAGAAAAAAAAAGTTACAAGAATTCAATTTAATTTTTTCATAAAAAATAAAGATAAATAATAAGAGAGAGAAAGAAATATAAATAAAATATAATTAATAGAAAAAAATAAATTTTAATCAAACATGTCCATAGAATGTTAAAGGAAAGAAAAATTGATTTTTTGTTTATTTTTTGTGAAAATCTCCCAAAATCTCGTGATTAATGAGAGACAAATTTTAAGATTTTATATGAGTACTTTTTGCTTAAAAGTTAGTATTTCAAAGACTTTTATTAAAATTTCTAAAAGTTATTAAAATTTGAATACCCAAAAACTTATAGAGACTTCTAAAATTTTTTAATTGAATACACTGTAACTTTTAAAGACTTTTTAAAAGTTTATAAAAGTCTCATTTGAATACATCATTACTTTGAGAGAGTCTCAAAAAATCTCAATTGAATACCCCTAAACTTTTTAAATCTCAAAAAGTTATTAAAAGTCTCAATTGAATACACCCCCTTAGATATTTAAGTAGGTATAAGATTCTATAATGCGTTATTATTCACGTAGTCTACAATTTTTTTAGTCAATGAGTGCAAATTGCCTAACCCTAAATATTTCATAAATGGGTAATTGGTACAAAATAATTATATAGCTTGTTTTCATTGAACAATTTTTCATACCATTTTATTTTTGACATTTGAACTTTCAAATCGATCATTAATTGGACAAATCACCCCTACCGTCTCATTTTGTACATTTGCTTCGTCAAATGATCATACGCAGTCCACTTGTGTAATTTGTTCAATCATATTTTGGTTAAAACACTAATTAGGCATCTTTTCCCATCCAATTCTAATTATTTTGAAGAATCATGCCACACATATAACCTTGGAGGCATAATCTGCGATTTACCTCCCTCACGATGCTCCAGGACAGGGGTGGTGGGGGACCCTTAAGGTTAGGGTTTAACCTTTAGTTTGACAATCTTGCTTGACAATTCACACTTGCCAACATCACATTCATCTATTTCAAAAACTATTTTTTAAATCAATGGTCAAAATTTTGACAACATCAACATTGTCAAGCATGATTGTAGATATAGCATAATTGTATATAAATTTTTTGTTTATATCCATATGTATGTGTATAGATAAAAATATCATATCCATATTTACATATGTAAAATCACACCTTGATTTTCATTTTGCATATAGACAACATGGGTGATTTGATCGAAGAATGGTCAATATGATTTTCACTTAAAAATGACCAAATATTTAGCAAGGTTGCACAATTTATTATTCAAAAGCAAGTTAATCTTTAACCTTTTAAAACGAACCAGTCAATTATATCATCGTTGTACAATCTATTTAGTGACAAAAACTTTTTAAATCATTATAAATTATCATGTGTCATCATCAAAATATGATTACTTCAAAATTTAATCTCCAATATAAGTTAAAAAATAGAACCCACAAAGTTAGACATGGGGGTGTTACTTGACAACCTAACAAAAAGAATTTGTCATTTTTATCATTGAAGATTGACTGCATAATTATAATGAAAATTTAAAGACTATTATTAACACGATCATCTTTCATGATTAGAGATTAGTTTCCATTTAGAGCAATGTAAAATTTTTCCCAAGCATGTAATTTATTTTTATCAAAATAATTTTATAACTATAACTCTCATCTAGGGATGGCAATCGAGCTTGTCGGCTTGAACCGCCCGTGGCTCGACCCGAGCTTTTCTGGGAGTTGGCTCGAGTTGACCCGATCTGTGTGGCTCGACGACCCAAAAAAAAAAAGAAGGAAAAATCTGTGGCCTGCTAAGCTGCCTTAACCATGCTGGTGGCTAGGAGAGAAAAAAAAAAAAAGGAAAAAATTCCAAAAAATCGAGCCGACTTGACGGCTCGGGTCGAGCCTAAAAAAAATCGCCTTAAAAAAGCCCGAGCCGAGCTCGAGCCGAAAATTTCAGCTCACAAGCCGACTCGATTTGGCTCGTTGCATCCCTACTCTTATCAATTAAGTTTTCAAGCATTCAATAAGTTAAAGAATAGCAAAAAAAGGGTAGTTTACACAATCAATTTATAGGATAAGAAGCAATAGATGTCTAGATTGAATTCATCTTAGAATCATTAATGCCATGTTTGATTGGCATGGAATTTCAAGTAAAATGGAATTGAAATTCCATCTTTGTCATTTTTTGTTGTTTGATTGGCAAAATTTTTCATAAAATTCATTTTCCACCTTTCTTACCACATAAGCCAATTTTCACATTTTCCTTGAATTTGGAGAGAATTCCAATTCTCGACCACTGTCGTTTTTTTTTTTTTGGGTATTGGAAACAAATTATAAGAATTATTGTAAAAAAAATATTTCCCTTTAATTGACAATTTTCATGTAAAACAAAGTCAAATGAACACCATAAAATAAAGGATTTTCTTGAATTTTTTTATTTTTTTTTATTTTTTTATTTTTTTGGGTTTTGACAATGGAGACAAATTTCTTCCCCAATACCAGTAAATTATATCCCTTTAATTTACAATTTTCATGTAAAACAAAACCAAACGAACACCAAAGAACACTTCTATTTCAACATTTTTCACGTAAAAAAATTATATCAATCAACCACAATAAGTTACAATTCTCAAGAAAACAATTTCTAGGCAATTTAATTTCCTAGAATTTGTTTTCAAGGCAATTCAATTCGATCTTTACAATCAAACGGACCCTTATAATATATATTTTAATAAATATAATAATATAATATAAACGAAATTGAACTCCTAAACCAGCTATGCCTACTAAGTGAAATGACACACTATAATAGGTAATATAATTCAATCATGCTACATAGACATAATAATTAACATAATCCTTGACCTAATATTACCTGACAACTTATTATTAGACTGTTTAAAACACAATTAACTTCTTCAACCAATCATATTTTGCTAACACCTATTATGTCAACCATTATATTACCTACTTTATGATAAAGAAGCGTAATTTTGATCCAATTAATTTTGTAACCAACCATTATCACCTATTATAATGTACCATGTCACCCGGGTGCTTAGGAGATCAATTCCGATAATATACATGCATAGTATAATTTATAAAGGAAACTAGTCTAACTAATTTTGTCTTCCTAAAAGTAGAAGAGAAAAAATCTTATAAAATATTTTTCTTCAACCAAATCCTTGATCAGTATTGTTCATGGGCTGGAAAAATTGAAATTTTCAAAATTTGCATAAAGATTCTTTAAGGTATGGATAGTTGAATAACTTGATCCCAAACAAATTAATCTTATAATTAAGTCCTAAATTCAAGAATAATGGCTAATCGATGAACGGGGTGTTATAGCTCACAAGAACATTACCGTTCATCTCCTCAAGGATGACAAGAACAAACCCTGTAGTAATTTATATGATGGTGGAGATAGACTGTTGGCCAGATCCAAATTTGTAATTAACTCTTTTATTTGCGATGGAAACATGTAAACTTCGTCTGCTTGATTCTTTCGTATCCATTCTTCCAGCATCCTGAATATAAATCAAGTCTTAGTTACGTGAAAAGATGCAAAGCAAAAATTAGATGTACGTTTGAAAATTCAAGAAACAAAAATCTCCAAAGAAGCACAACAGAAGAACAGTACATTTGAAAATTCAAGAAACAAAACGGAAGAACATTCCATAAAGAGCATCCTTGGGAAGGATTAATTTTCCACGTAAAAATAATTTGCACTATTCATACCCAAATTTAAACGCTCTACACAACCAAAAAATGAAAAATTAAGAAAAAAACAGAGGGAGAGGGAGCGGAGATAGAGTGTGTGCTGCAATTGAACTAACCCTGTGTCAAACTCATCACCATGACTAGAAGCAGTAAATAGCACTTTCACCGTGGGGTGCAGAACAATTTTGCCAGCCGATTCCAATGGGAGTGACTCTGAGAGAATTGATGCTATTGCGGATCATAAAGCACGAAAACGTGATTGGTTTGAAAGATGTTATGATGCCGATTCATACGAGGAGTTTCAAGGATGTGTATTTGGTTTATGAGTTGATGGATACTGATCTTAATCAGATTATAAAGTCTTTGCAGCCTCTGTCCAATGATCACTGCAAATTTTTCATTTTTCAGGTATAATTTTTCTTCCCATCTTTTGCAAAGAAATATAGTATATCTTTCGTACGGACACTTCAATGTCCGTGTCCAATACATGTCGAATACTGATACCCCTTGAACTTTTTTTATTAAAAATATTATATATATTTTTAATTCAAAGTTATTGGTAAATAACAAATATGTACTATATTTAAAAAATTTCAATAAAAATAAAAATAAAAAAAATTAATACCAAGTATAAAACTAAATTTATATTATATAAATAAAGAATTTTAAAGAATTTAATTAACGTGTCGACAACGAATCTTGACAGTCCTTCTTTCAAAAATCACATGTCGACATATCCAACACGTGTCGTGTTGTACACAAGTGTTCGCGTCGGTATATCATAGTATGGTATGTATCATATGGTAGTAATTGGTGAAATGTTGCATAAAGTGCTAATTTGGCAGAGGATTTCTTATAATTACCAACTGATATCCATTGGTTCAAGTGATTATCTTGGAATAGGCTTTGCTTGTACGTATTGTACTGGCTGGTCATTTTGGTTTTATGAACTTAGATGGTATCACATGATTTGGGCAAAGATCTGAACAAAAAATCAATGACTTATTTCTTGAATTTACACTTTATTTGTCAACTTTCTCAAGAACCCTTCTAGGTGTACAGGTAATGGTTCACATAATCCCCTACCGACACCTCGGGAAGGGGTGGGGTTGACTTATTTTCTGTCAAGGTTCTAGGAACTCTACTTCTGTACAAATAGCAAAATCCCTTTCTTAATCTATTTTGAACAAAGTTGATAAGAACATTGAAGGCTTGTTTTAAGCCTGCAAATGCCACATTTATATCTCTACCATACCACTTATCGTTATTATTATATTCATTCTTTAATGTTAATTAAGACATTGAAATAAATGTTCCTCGATATGCTGTTATCGTTGATGATTCAACGATATGATCACAAACCCATAAGTAGATCAGAGTTCTTGACATTCTGTTCGGCAGTGTTTCCTTTCATTGTACTTTCTAGGATGTGAGAATGCTCGCTCTCTCTCTCTCTCTCTCTCTCTGAGCTCTTTGTTCGACTATATTGCAAAATGCAGATTCTTAGGGGATTGAAGTATCTTCATTCGGCCAACATTCTTCATCGAGACTTGAAGCCAGGAAATCTCCTTGTCAATGCAAACTGTGAACTGAAGATATGTGATTTCGGACTGGCACGAACTAGCAAAGACAATGGACAATTCATGACCGAATATGTAGTTACACGATGGTATCGTGCGCCAGAGCTGCTTCTTTCCTGCGACAATTATGGAACCTCTATTGACGTCTGGTCCGTAGGTTGCATCTTCGCAGAAATTCTTGGCCGGAAGCCAATCTTCCCAGGAACTGATTGCCTCGGTCAGCTTAAGCTTATTATAAGTGTTCTTGGTGGCCAACCTGAAGAAGATATTGAATTCATTGATAATGCAAAAGCCAAAAGGTTCATCAGATCATTCAACTTTTGCAGAGGAACACCATTTTCTGCTCTATATCCTCATGCTGATCCTTTGGCAATAGATTTGCTTCAAAAGATGCTCATATTTGATCCATCAAAAAGGATTACAGTCTCGGAGGCTCTCCACCACCCATATATCTCTGGTCTGTACGATCCTTCTAGTAATCCTCCGGCCCAATCCCCGATCAATCTTGATATTGATGAGAATATGGGAGAACCTATGATTAGAGAGATGATGTTGAGAGAAATTCTCTATTATCACCCCCAAGTTACTTATGCTTGAGGTTGAGGGTAGTCGACTTGAATGTAGGGCTAGTGACCTTGATCCGTTAGCCCATAAGTCAGAACTATGACCAAGCGGCTCTTGCTAAGCATATTGTAATGACATCGAGTTTAGAGAGTTTATTTGTATAATCTTCCCAGAAAATCCAAGAGTCCGACGGAAGGAAACGAAATAATAAGATTTGAAAAGAGAGAAGATAAATCCGTTTAGTCGAACTGGTATTAGTCTAGTTTTTATGTGGTATCAAGAAGCAAAGTAGCAGGAATGTTTATGATTCATGGAGTTTGTAATAGCTATGATATATTTATCTTATATATTGGCATGTCCAAACAAGGCATAGCTTATTGTAACTAAGGCATAAGAGCTGAGACTTGGTTTATGAGTTGGAAACAGTGATCAAACATAAATTTTTTGTTTTTTTTTTTTTTTGGTTCAATGGTTGACACCATTCGAGCCCTCGTCATCCAGTAATATCTGTTAATGGCCTGCTGGGGTACTTCTAAAATTTTATCTCCTAAGGTGGCAAATTTTTTGAATATTTGTTTATTTGTGGTATATGCAAAATGAACTCTGCTATGGATTTGAATTTCCATGGACAGATGAACGCTATCGTTTTATATGAAATTTTTTTTTCTTTTTTTCTTTTTTTTTTTTGTAGAAGTAGAATAACTGATGCGAAATTGCCAAATATGTCATCATATACCTACTTCCATTGAGTCTCAACTGATGCCTATTACACATTTCTCCAAGCCTATTCACATTATTACATATACCATTATTCTTTAGGGCAAAACTTTCATGTATTCGGAAGTCAAACTGCATTCTAGTCAAATATGCTCCAATCACGTGAGCAATCATTATTTCGGATTTTCAATATTTTGAATACTAAGGGTGTTCTCTTTGTGTTTCAGTTTTGTGTTTCGAGTTTTGAATTCATTTTGAGTTTTGTGTTTTGAGTGTTTGTTTTGAAATTATTGAAAATACGTTTTTTTTGTCAGTTTCTCAAAACAAAAAAAATGATTTTTTTTTTTTTTTAATTTTGAGAATCACCACACCACCACCTAAAAAAAAAATTAATTTTAATTTTTTTTTGAAATTTTGAGAATCACCACACCACCTCCTCAAAACAAAAAAAAAAAAAAAAAAAGGGTTTCCCGCGTTTTCAATTTTTTCAAGTTTTACACTAAAAACACCCAAAACGACAAAAAAGTCGTTTTGTGTTTTCTTCACAAATTTTTTTTCGTTTTCGAAAATTCGTTTTCAAAAACGGGAAAGAGAACACGTTTTCACCGTTTTAAAAAATCGAAAACAGAAAACGGCCCGAAAACGGTAAAGAGAACAGGGCCTAAATTTTTGAAAAATAAACCCCCTTTTGGAGCATATTATAGTGGCATTTTTTTTATTTTTCTTTCAAATCTCATTATTCTACGGTGAAAGAATCAATAAAAAAAATACAAAAGGTAGTTGCCTTATCATACTTCAATTTCCCATCATTATACCGTTGAAAATGCATTGGACCAAATTACCTCAACTACACTACAATTGATGCAATGCTCCACAAGAACACGTCAAAGGCAGTTTGGGAAATTTAAGTAAAACATCCATTGAAAAGTCAAGACAAATGTCACACCATAGTAAAATATATAGGCATGGGGACCACAAATTCTGAAAATGAGAAGAAAAAATGGACAAATAATAGGGCCCAAACAAACGCTAAGTGATTAAAAAGTAGGAAAATATTTAAAACTTACGTGTAGAATATTTTATTGTGTGAATATATGATTGAAAAAAAAATGAGATAAAAGATGTCAAACAAGGCTAAATTTCCTTCTTTAAATACTTAGGGCCTCTTTGGTTGGCACTTTTTTTCCTTAGAAAAATGGAAATGGAATTCCTTTTATCACAAAATTGCTTGTTTTATAACCTTTTAA